CGCCACAGTCACTTGGGGGCTGAAAATCAATAAATACTAATTTTCAAAAAAAAAAAATCATCCGCTATACGTATATAAATAGGTTAATGCACGCGATTTTTTTAACACACATGAAATAAATCTCTCAAATAGCACCCCACAGGCGTAAAAAGGTTAACACACGCATTTTTTTGCACACACACACACGAAAAAAAATCTATTCAAAACAGCGCCCCCACAGGCGTAAATAAGTTAATGCACGCGTTTTTTTTCTTTTTACACACACGAAATTTTAATTCGACCTCACACACGCCATTTTTAAAAACACACACGTCATTTTTTAACACACACGTCGTTTTTAACACACACGTCATTTTTAAAAACACACACGTCATTTTTAAACACACACGCCATTTTTAAAAACACACACGTCATTTTTTTAACACGCACGTCGTTTTTAAACACACGCCATTTTTAAAAACACGCACGTCGTTTTTAAACACACGCCGATTTTAAAAACACACACGTCGTTTTTAAACACACACGTCATTTTTAAACACACGCCATTTTTAAAAACACACACGTTATTTTTAAAACACGCTATTTAATACACACACATGATTTTTTAAAGCACATACCATTAAAACGCACAGTCGCGCCGTTTTTTAAAAATGCACACATCATTTTAAAACACACACGCCACGCGCCACGGCCTCCAATACGTACGTAATTTTGAATTATTAGTACGTTTTCTTCTAGTATACACAAAATACACGCCTCGTAATACGCATCCCCTCTATAGGGATAGAGCACAGTCCCTCTAGATAGAGGGACTGTGTAGGAATACACGAATATAGAGGAGGTTTTACAAATGGACAATTCCACAGCAGGAAGGACATTTTTTTATTCTATATATGGCAGAAATTTATTCACAAGACCCCCAGCCTCCCAGAAAGAAGTTTTTCTGATTTCCCTCAAGCTGTATGTAAATCTAAAAATATTTCTTCATGGCACGAGAATGCCTGCCGTTTGACATAAGCAAGTAACAAATTCCACGAGATAAAATAATCTAGTAATAAGCAAAATAAGGGCAACTGAAACTACTTTCCACCCCCTATGAATGTAACGTTCGTCATTGTCACGGTGGAATTGTCCAATTTACAAATGTGTCTATCAAAATAGCTTTTACGAAAATTTTACAAATACAGATGCAAATTTCTCAAAAACGAATGCAAATTTGTATCACGAATACAAATGAGATTTTACAAATACAAATAGTGGTTTAACAAATGTAAATATGTCATTTATAAATATAAATTAAAATTTTTGCATATAAACACTATAAATTTGTAATGAACAGACATTCCCCAATGCATCAATAATAAACAAACTGTATTAATAGGTCAGGGCCTGTTTATGTAAGTCACATGCTGTATTTGGCACAATGAGTTTTGTTACGCCTTGAGGCGTGTTGTTACTCTATTGAGTGCGCACGAAACTGCGCAGGTGTGCACATCAGATGGGTTTGTTGGAGTATTCGGTAGTTAGTAGAATAGAGACACGTAACGCAAATGGTATCCTCTAGTACTACTGGTAGAACTGAAGGCCAAGAAAGCAACATCAGTAAAATCAGCGCCATGTTTCCAACAACGTTTAGTGCTGTGATTTTCGTTGCTTATATGGCGTTATTTGTAAATCAAGGTAAGGTACATAAAGTAATAAATGTTCCACTTCCACTTCCGGGTTCGCTTTCGGTTGATCGCACGCTTTCTCGATCTCGATGTATAGCCGATCACCGTTACCTAATAGTGGTGTGGCGAAGGTCAAATAAACAAACCTAGCAAGGACTTATATTTGGCACTGGATGACCTTTGATCTTGCCCGAAACTTACTGAATCGAGATTGCATATAACTGTGGTCAGTGCTTTGGGGTGTATGGTCAAAACGGGAAGATTTGGCACAAATGATACTGTCAATAGAGGGTTTAAGATTTGTGTACGTAGCGGTAACGTAACGTGTTGTTTATGTTAATTAATTAAATATTTCAACAGAGTAATGAATACATTTAATGAATTAGTAAAAGAGGCAGCAATTATGAACAAACAATTAAGCAGCAAATGGTACTTTGCCATAATGATAACTAATGATAACCGGAATAAACCAACCACAAATTATCGAAACAACAACTAGTACTAAACCACCGAGAAATCAAGAAATTAAGTTTGAAAATTGAAAAAATATATAATTTAAATTATACTGGAAAAGTGAAATTTACACAAGGTCTTATGATAACCAAAATAATAATAACAGAAGGAATAAATTCAGAACATACAACAATTTCAAAAATGAATGTCTAAGTAGGTTGCGTCTGAGCAATCATAAACTAAAAATTGAAACATTGAGGTATGCAAAACCAAAAACAGAAACAGGAAAAAGAATTTGTGTTTAAATAATAAAAGTAGATGATGAGTACCATTTTTTTGGTATTATGAAATGCTCCTTTTACGAAAACTCGTGAAAAGCACTATTTGAATTTGAAGAGACTACTAAACACATTATAAACTTCATGAATATGAGTGACTACAACAAATTTTGAAAATTAAATGGGTGATACAAACCTGAATGTACATATACTACTTGCCCAATTTTGTTAAAAATAACACGAACCTTAGACAGTAGAATTTGTGTAGAATTTGTTTTAAATATGTGTACTAGTAGTTAGGTTTCTCACTCATTGGGCAACCATAATATAACTATCCAATAAAATTGTCATTTCACGTCCGGAATCTGAATTAGTAGTTACTTCCCACACATCTGCTGCTGTTGTCTCAGGCTAGTTTGCTGAAACAATTAAAATTGACTGTGAGAAAAATTCTCGGAAAATCAACTACGAGTCACTCACGTTCAAAATTACCACTGTGTGACCTGGCTATTGATAACATCATTGGTTCGTATGGAGGTCCTGTACAAAGTAATGATGTATCCGTTCTCGTTCCATTCTTGTACGCACATCTTAGCTTAATGTCTCTAATATTGTTGCACATTTTTAGAGAAACTCTCCACAATCCATGGCTGCATATAGTATTCAAATTACATAAGTGATACCATCAACATATCCGCTGTTGTCACTTGCTAGTCTGTTGTTTATTTCACAAATCAGTGTAAATGCAACAAAAAACAGTATATTTCTTACTTTTTTTGCTTCACTTTGTGTGTGAAAACAGTGTATACTGGTAGTCTGTATTACCACCTCTTACCGGTAGTTGAAATATGCTGAAATTGTTGCTTTTGTCATCTATGTGTAAATTCTATGGAGTGCGCTTTTATCCCTAGAATTTGAACACAAAATCTAAAACATGCACTACCAGTACACAGGTAAATTCTACCCTCTCAAAATGTATTAGAATGCCAGTTTACACAAATAAAACCTCAAATCCATGTGGAAATCAATTTATAACGTAATATGATTTCAAAATTCCAATATTATTAGGTGTTTTAAAAACTCTTAAATCTTCATAATCCCTAACTATAGTGGTTACTGCCTCAATGATGTTGTAGATTTATTTGGTGAATGCAATCTACAATGTATTTGTTATTTTACTGGGTTTTGTCACATGATTTATTTGGAAAATTTTGTTAGGAATAAATGGTGAATCTTCATACTGATGTTAGAGTGTCTTTGTTCATTGTGATCACTAATTGTATTCATGTTTGAAACATGTTTATATTTTTGATATTTGTTTGAAACATTTTTCAGATATGTTTAAATAAAATGTTTCAGTCAAGCTCCAAACATGTCCCAAACATGCCCTAACTGTGTGTTTTTTGTAGTGAATGCATTCATGTCCCAAAAGTGTGCGCATGCAGTCATCCGAAATTATACTAGTTTTAAACTAGAAGATGAAGTGTCTGAAACATGTGTGGGACACATATGAAGTATGTCTCCGACACAGAAAGCAGACATGTTTCAGACCTAACCCAAACATGAATGACACTTGTCCAATTTCGGTAACGGCAATTTGAGCAGTGCACCAAAATATGTTATTGACATCCTATGTTGAAAATTCTATGTTCATCAAGAAAACTTACTCTGTGCCTGTCCTTGTGATTTCAATGAAAGTTACTCGACTCAAACTGTCCAATAAATAGCTACAGCTTTATTAAACCAGAGTGCAAAAATATTATAAGTCTTTTGGAATATGTCTGAGACTAGTCTGAGAAATGTCCATATCCAATTTTTGTAGTTTGAATACAATTTCATGAACAACAAGGTTTGAAATTTTACTAAGAATATCTGGGATGTTCTCAGGACTAGTCTGAAGCTTGCGACACAAACTAGTTTCCATTGGTGTGACTATCACTAAGCATGCGACACAAACTAGTTTTCATTGGTGTGACTATCACTCTTTATTGAAATCTCAATCATTGATTGGTAGACGAAAATGCACATTCCTCATTGCTAAGACAGTGATCAAATGCAAATTTCTGTAATCTTTTGTTGCAATCGACTGATATTAATATCAACTGGATGAACGCCTGCCACATTACTCTTGAGATACTGTGTTTTTCCAAGTGAACCTTCTCCAATCAGTCTTAAGAGATTTTCTTTTGACACTGAAGTTTGTTTTGTCATTTTAGGTAAGTTGTCATCCTTTACAACATTTTCACATTTGTCTTAACATTTTCAAACATTTCTGGAATAATTCCTGATCACCAGGTGGCAGAAACAACAACATTTCTCTCCAAAAAAGTTACAATTTGATAAGGGAAATCATTCTAATCCAAACTAATTTGACAATACATATCAAATCCGATTGTTATCAAAACTCAGCTGCCAGTCACTCTGCCAATTCAATCAATCAATCCAATCAGATACTTCGGATATACAATCTCAAAAATTCAGCTGCAGATAATTCTTTGGATTCATTGAACCTCGCAGAATTTAATCCTAAAGAGTCTGGAACACAATAGTTGTTATCTCTTGAAGTAAAAAATAACATGTTGAATCTTCTCCACATATACTAATTCCATGTATAGCCTACATGCCATTCATTTCAATATTATTTTTGTCATATGTTTTTACTGCCAGTGTTTATCTCCCCAAATTGCTGGCAGAATAACAACATTCAATAACTGCATAACTACTTATAAAGTACCTTATACACATTTTCTCTTCGTTGCATTTCTCATTTATGCATCTTATTGCATATCTAATATACTTTGTATCATACATCTTCATGTAATAATATTTAAGTGCAGTTCATTCTACAAGTAATAAACAATTAATTTGCATGCTCAACTTATCTACTTTCAACCATACCATGTATTAAACTACTGCAATATTCTTACTACAATTAACCTCCAAGTTTCCCATGTTTTGTCATTTAAACAAAAAATCAACATATACATCTTCATAAATTCTTCGTTCATTCCATTTTAACTTGTCAACCCATCTGTCACATTTATTTACATGCAATACAGATTTTCACTTCATTTTGCCTGTAAATACATTTCACCTGGTGGTTCATCTCGCACGTTTAGAAAATTACAGAACCAATTTCAAGCATTTCAAATTACATTACAGTTTTGTAAACTGAGGGCAAGGTTATGTGTGTCATACCACTCATTCACTGGGGATAACAATTATCCTCATCCAAAACTTGATATAAAACTGTATGTGTTGATACTTTCATAACTATCCAACTCAGTTTACCCATTGTGAAGAGCTGGGAGCAGATTTCATTTTCAAAAATTCCTTGCTATAACTTCACATTGTATACAAATAATCATGCAATTTTGCTATTTAACTGATTTATTTGGCAGATGGCCAAGAATTCTGCTCATGACAGGACTTATTTATCTATTAATTGTCGCTAGATGGTACAGCTATTACAGCTGGGAAAGCTCCAATCAAATTAACCAGAAAGCCTTGCTATATTTCTAAATTTATCAAAACAATTTCGCATTTTCATCTCTAATATACATCTTTCAGTGTTTACAGATTCAAGCAAATATCGTCAGAAAATTCACAGTACTGAAGTGTCATTGATGGAATATTTTATATTGCAATTTCTTTCAATTTTAATTTGTTGTATTGCAATTCATTAATAAAAATTACTATAGAAGCATATATATACATGTATATAGGCTTCTTCATATCATTGCTGGGAATGAGGAATAGATTTGTTTCATACTATAGTTTCTCATCTATATTGGAAAATTATACAAGGGATTATTAATTTAAATAAACAATATTCAACTTTCCTTATGCAATGCCAATAATATCATTACTTTTAGTACGTCACTAAGCAGTACAACTATAAATGGTTCTTGGTCTAAGTAAAAAAATAAGGGCAATATCAGGGCATGGGTCTTATTTAGGAACTCCTGCCAGAACAACTGCAAAAATCGTAAGGATAAATTAACAGCCCCAAAGGATGGTATTCCTATAATTCCATAAAAAAATCAATTCTCAACTCCTATAGAAAGGACAATTGACAGCGAGAGCTACTCACTGCTAACTCCACTCATCACGAAGCCACTCATCGAGAAGCTACCAGTATATTCAAAAAAGGATGTTGGGAGAATTGTAAATTTACACACAGCATGTTACGTTTGTGGAATGAAATTATAAAAAAGCTCAGGTATTTACCCACTAAGCTCTCTCTAGAGTGTAAAATTAGCATATTCAGGGCAGATAATAACCTAGCGTATGCTCAAATGGTTGGGAAATTTATCACTTTTTTTTATCATTTTATGGCGACTGAATCCGAAATGCATGTTATACTGGCATTTACGAAGCATTTAGTCGTAATTTGAGTTTAAAGCCCTACCTTGAGAAAATATGCAGACCAACTTTTTCTTGTCAATTTAGGATGATGGTTGTGAAAATGCATACTATACAGGCGTTCATAGGTTTGAGATTTGAACTTCAACTTCATTTTTGTCCAAATTATTGTAAACAATAACCAGTATTAAAGGAGCATGTGTCATTCAAATACAAAATTGTAAGACAGACTCTTTATAATCAATTTAAGATGCTGATTCCAAAAAATGCATGTTATACAGGTATTCAATGGTGAGTTTATACTTGACTTTGATTTAAAATGTCGTTTTCATCTGAAAAACAAAACCAATAAGGGGGTGAGGTGTCATGACCATTTGCTGGACAAAACTTTTCTGGTCAGTTTTGAGACGCTGATTTCCAAATTGGTAATGTCATTTGCTAAATCCAACATTTCATTAAGTCTTGATTCTGTCAAGTATACTACTAGTATGTTGCGTCACAGAAATACAGACTCGGTTAGGTTTTCCGATGAATATTACAATCACAACCTGTATACCATTTATTTCAAAACGACTCCAGTAAAAATACAGCGGTAAGAAAATGTCATCTGGAACAGAAACGCAGTATAAAATAAACAGAAATTGAACTGCACGCGAGCAGAAGCTAAACAAACACTGATTGGTCAATACCGACCAAGTGTGGATGTAGATTGACCCTAATTAACATAATTTATGCATTTCAATTGGATATCCGCAGTATCACCATTTGATCGAATATAAAAATAATAACTTCGAAATTAATAACAATATTAATGTTTGCGACATATGTTGTACGTTTTAGTTAATATCAACAACAAGAGTGAAAATCTGCTTTGTGCTGCATTCTATTGTAGTCAAGTCAACTCGGTTGGCATTGTTTGCCAAATGTGCTTTTTACGAGAAAACTCAAAGTACAGCATAACAATAAATAGTAATCACGGTTTTAGTGAAGAGACTACATGTGTACACCTTGATTATTTACAACCTTAATGGATTGCCAAATCTGTTTAATCAAAATCTTTGTTTATGATATCATGTTATGATATATTACATTACAAAGTAGTTAAGTTGACACATTGGGTATTGACACTTTATAGTTGCCGTGGTGATGATGATACAAAAACTTATATACGATAATTCATATAGGTATATTTGTTAGTTTGTGTTAACAGATAGACCAGGAGAACAGCGGAGTGGTGTCATCTGGTGGGGAAATTCAACAGAACAACTATTTTAGGGTATATATGCATGCCATAAAGATGTTTACATATATTATAAAATACCTAATAAAATAGTACTTATCATTTAATCAGTCCCTAGCTGTCTGTGATTTTTACAGCTTGTCAATCCTTGCATGTTAGTAGGTATGTTGGGTGCTTTATACATATCATGTAAAAACATAGTAGTGAATGTATAAGTTGTCAAAATAAATAATATTTTAATGAGCCATCATACAATCTTTGGTTCGTCTGTCTTTTTATCGATCGATTGATTGATTGATTGATTGATTGAATAGAGCAAATATGGTATAGCATATGACACAATTTGGCGTACAGGAAGCGCCGAACTGAATATATTGTTTTGATTATAGTTCACCTCATCTACAGGTTGGTTTCAACCATTTCATTGAATATTTTAAGCAACTAGTATGAGTATATATTTATTTTTTAATTTGAGATATGTATTTACTTTTAATTCCAATAATTTCGATTCAATCTTAATTGTATATTTTTTTCAATATATTTTCAAGATTAGTTCAAGATCATATTTGTTGATTATTTATAGCCAAAACAGAGTCATTGTGGACCTTCGGTTACACTACAAAATAAACGTAGCCAGTGTTACATTTGAGAATGAAAAAAACAAACAAAATAATCGAAGGCACCTACCACACATGTTTAAATAATTATAGTTGAAAATCTGATTTACCTTTTACCTTGCAGTGTTTTCTTTTTACAACATTTTGATCATATGACGCATTTTCATCAAGATACATGTACATAATTTTACTATGGTGTGTTTGGTGTAGCATAAATATAATTATGTACAGGTGTGTACGCGTAAGTGAGTGGAGACGGTGAGACCTCATATGCAACAATGTGTTCAACACACGTGGTCGGTACCTTTGGTTACGCTTATTGGATTTTTTATACTCAAAATATATCACTGGCTGTATTTTTAGCTCCGCTGTCATCGCAGATGACCCATCGGAGCTGTTGGTATGAGGGTCTCTCCGGCGTTGTCCGTCTCATGTCCCACGTGAAGTTTTCCTTTAAACGACTTCTTCTTCATAAAAATTTGACGAATTACATTCATATAAGGTACTTGGGGTGGTTCTCTGTCAGATTTGTTAAATTTGTGTCAAAACATGAAAATTGGGATTTTTACGTAATATTTTTGTCATTTTTTGGAAAAAATGTTATTTTCGACAACTAGTCTGAAACCGTAAATCCAAATGCTTTCATATTTCCAGCAATGATACGTGGGGTGGTCCTCTGTCAGATTTGTTAAATTTGTCTCAAAATGTGCAAATTTGGATTTTTAGTGAATATTTTTGTCATTTTTGGTAAAAAATGTTATTTTTAACAACTAGTCCGAAACCGCAAGTCCAAATGCTTTGATATTTGCAGCAATGGTACTTTGAGAGGTCCTCTGTCAGATTTGTTAAATTTGTATCAAAGTAAGCAAATTTGGATTTTTAGTGAATATTTTTGTCATTTTTGGTAAAAAATGTTATTTTCGACAACTTGTCCGAAATCGTCAACCACAATGCCACTTTACTAATTCTTGTTCCATGATAATGAAGACAGCGGAGCTATTTCGACCATCAGGTCGCTTGTTTTTATCATATCTTGCAACAGATGGTCCACGCTGACTGCATTTTGGCTATAATATAACATTTTTGATAGTATTTTGTGGTGGACCAAAAAAACATGTGCTGTCACGTATAATCTGCATAAGCGCAAAAAAACGACAGTTTGGATTCAGATGAACAATAGCTTGCCTGAAAAGTACGCAGTTGTCATCTGTTTTCTTTGTTTGTTTGTAGGTATATTAGTTACTTCCACAAAAGATGAAAATAATGAGTACCATTACAATACCACAACCGTAGTGCTTTTTACAGAATGTCTCAAATTGGTACTAGCAATATGTTTATATTTAAGAGAGTAAGTTTATATTTTATTGCTAATTTCTTGTTCATGGGTGAATAATTTTGAATTAATTGGTTTTAAAGTTCAATTTCTCATGAGCAGTTACTTTTAGCATAATGATGGTTTTGTCTCTTGTTGGAAGCTGTCCAATTCAAATTCTTATCAATTGTAAACTGACACAAGAATAGCCATGATTGACTGTCCTATTGGGTGTTCACATGTGTAGTAAAATACAGGGGTTGATCCAGAGTTATTTTTAGACGCTGTCCCAAAACATGTGTGAACAGTGTTGGCCCTGGCTAGTTTTAGCTTGAGTCAGAGGACTGGTCTTGATGCTGAGTACAATTTGTGCTGGTGAAGCAAAAAAAAAAATATTCTTGATAGAAAGAAAACTAATCGTACAGAAATTTCATCAGATGAAATTGAGTACTGTAAAATAATTTGTTTTAAGCTGGAATTAATTTTCGCTTAATTTTCACTGATTTTTTTATGCGTTCAGGTATTTTCACTGATTCGTTCCTTAGTTCGCGGAAATAAATTCCAAGTAAAAATAATGCACATCACAGTACTATCACTGCAGCAACCCCCTCCAAACCATGGCTAATGTTCCACCCCTAAATCATATTTTTAACAGCACTGTGATTTTAACTACAGCAATTTCTTCATTAATTGCTCAAGCAAATATTGTTGTATTTTCAATCACCGGTGAAAAAAAACTAAGCAGCTACAATAGCAATAGAATATGAATTTACATTTAGTCTATATGTGTTCATGCATGCATTTCCATTGACACATACCATATTTGATTAGTCTAAACACAAATCCATTGTGCCATTGTAAAACATTTTATTCAGAGATTTGTTATTCTTTGCATTGATAAAGCACATAAAACTCATCTGAGAGTACATGTTTGTACAAAATTAATCACAAAATATTATTTTAAAAAGAAATATATATCATTCAATAATTTTCTGTATTTTTGCTTTTTGTACCAGCAAATTATTTTTTTTTATAAAAAATCACCAATTTGCTCTATTTCAATGGCAGCGCATGTTGCTTTGTCTCTAGGTGGCGCTGTTTGTGAATATGCATCAACTGGTTTCAACTTAATAAGTATTTTCAATAATGGTTTTCATGCTGCTGTCCAACAAGTCATCACAATCATTACAATATCAGATGTGATCAGTGATTGGGAAATAAGCATATTTGTTTTGTAACCCTAACAGTTTTGTTTTTGTTTTGTTTTTTACAGAAATACATTTTCATCAATGTTCACAGAAATTCTGAATAACAAAAGAGGTACATAGTTTATCACTATACTCATTATTATCATTCAATGAAAACAATAGAAATTAGCTTTGTATTCTAAAGAAGCATGCGTAAACCCAAAATATTACTTAATTTTTCGACAGATACTCCCCTGTAATTTACATATTAAGCACATATATTGCTACTGGTATCTGTTAACACAGAAAAAAACAAAAATTATGATCTTTAACAGATCAAACAGACTTTTAGAGAATAACATTTTCTTCTTTGAAGATTGTGAATTAAATACTGTAAAAACATTTAATTACCGGTACCTAAGATTAATACTATAATAGTAAGGGTCAATGGGAAATTCAAGGAAAGCCTAAAAAGCATAAAAAGAGAAGCTTTAAATTCCTTATTTTCTTTAAAGGGGCAAACTGGTAAAAACCTCATCCATATATACATATGAATATTTCAGAAGTGTATATTGAGGTGTTAATAGACAACATCCATGTATACGTATGAATATTTCAGAAGTGTATATTGAGGTGTTAATATACAACATCCATATATACATATGAATATTTCAGAAGTGTATTTTGAGGTGTTAATAGACAACATCCATGTATACGTATGAATATTTCAGAAGTGTATATTGAGGTGTTAATATACAACATCCATGTATACATATGAATATTTCAGAAGTGTATTTTGAGGTGTTAATAGACAACATCCATGTATACGTATGAATATTTCAGAAGTGTATATTGAGGTGTTAATATACAACATCCATATATACATATGAATATTTCAGAAGTGTATATTGAGTTGTTAATATACAACATCCATGTATGCATATGAATATTTCAGTAGTGTATATTAAGATGTTAATAGACAACATCCATGTATACATATG